TTTTTTTTTTACATTCATATTCATATGAGTAAAAAATATTGTCTAGAACCAATGGGTTATTTTCAAATTTGTGTACTGTGAAAAACAATGACAGACTGAAGAAAATGCTCAAGAGATGTGTTCGCTTTAAAAAGGTTCTGATTATGACCAAAGTCTAGGCCCTAGAAGAAGTTTTGAAAAATTAAGTCAAGTCTGTTTAGGTTTCACTTTACTTTTTTTTTATTTTCTTTTTTTAAAAAATAAAACTCAAGTCAGTTGAACAACAGCTTAGGCTAGTTATTATTTAGCTTAGAGCTTACATAAAATGCACAAAAATGAGAAACAGAATAATAAAATTTACACCAGTTTTATTTGTTTTGGAACCATATTGCACCTAATGATGACAAAGTTTTAAAATTCGATGTTCAGAGTTCAGTTTCTACACAGGTTAGGGTGTTACTCACTGGAGATCATCTTTTGGTCCACTGATGGCCATAAGTGAGCTGTTTCAAGAAATCTTCCAAAATTTCTTTAACAGGAATCTCAATGAAATTGTCAATGAGATGAAACTGACACCTCAGTTTTATCCTACTCAGATGACATTAAGACCTGCCTCATCAGCTCTTAAAGTTTAAAATTTTAAAAAATGGGTATTTACTATTGTAAAATACAAATTGTCATAGGATTTTTTTTTTTTTAAGTTTTGAAGAGAATGCTTCTGGCTTTAATTTTCATCTACATAATTTGTTTGACAACTGTACAAATAGGATGATACAGGGTATTATCATGGCCCAGATAGGTGATTTTATTGTTATTTTTTTTCTTCAGTTTTGAGCTACTTACCATCACATAGTTCAAGAAGTAGTTTTTACATTAATATATATGAACGAGGTGGTCAAAAGGTATTGTGTTAAAGGAGAGGGAGAAAATGTAGACATATCAATTATTATAATGAAACTATAATTCATTTAATACAGTGAATTTAATAATTACAGAAGCAGCCTTAAGAAAATACTAGTAATATTACGAGAACAGGTTTAATGTTTACATTTTGACAACAATTTAATAGGTTGGTAGATCAAATTGGTAAGTAGAATTGTGGCAGATGGCAGATTCCATTGGCTGAGAATAATTTAACATTCAGCCACTACTTGCAAAATTTTTGCTTTTCATCTTCTGTAATTCTCTTCTGTGCCTTAGGGCAAGCGTCGGGTAATTCTCTTGTGTCGGGGCAAGGCAATGATAAACACCACTTGCCATTTTCTGGATTGTCATGGTAGCATCGTTGAGTGTAACTTTCGAACATCGCTGTTGTCTCTGCAGCAACTCTGACCGGGAGGTCCAAAGGTTCGAGTCTCGATAGTGATGAATTCGACCTAGCTAGATAGCTAGGTCCAATTCGGTTGCCTCTTAGAGGAGAATTCTAGTGGCTGGCTGCTCTGATGAAGTTTTCCATGGTTTCTCCAATCAATATCAGGCAAATGCCAGAGCAGTATTCTAAGAAACAGGGCACGGGACCGCGCGCGATCGTTTCTTCCTCTTCCTTGCCCTATCCTGTTCTCTGTTACACACATGTCGTACATTCGTGCTCATGTCACGAGACCAGTCGGAAACTGAGAACTTGTCTCGGGCGGGGCAGTGTCCTGCTAGAAGGAAATACTTGGAGGGCGAATCTCTGCGAGCCGACATGTAGGTTAGCATTGGGTCTCTCCAGTGTGTGTGTGGGGGGGGGCGAAACTCCTCCACTTACCAGATAAACTCATTCGGTACACGAAGAGAACTGATGTCTAGGGCAGTTGCCGTACCCGAAAAAATCAATCTACATACTGGGTTTGGTCATAACTGCCATACGTGTACATATAACGTTTTTGAACCGGCTGAAAATACAGCTTCCATTGCATTGTGTGCAAGATAATGGAAATGACCATTCTCAAATTTAAAATGAGAGTGGAAGTGTGTGTGTAAATGACCTATAATTTAAGATGACTAAGAAGTTCTTACAAGCAGCTATTAATATGCATAGTGAGTCACGTAACTTTAGCATCTTCTGAAACTTTTGAACGGTTGAAGTTAATGAATTGCAATTTTCGCGGAATTGCATGAGAGAATGGGGCATGAGTGTGAATGAAGTGCATAATATGTATGTTTTTGTTTCCATTTTATCACTTGTATTTTACGAGATATTGAGGTACTAACTTTGTGTTTTTCAAATGGAACTATACACACATTTTGTGTCTGCCATGAACGTCAAAAGACGAATCCAGTGATACACGTATAGTCATCTGCTAGATAAGTATTTAGCGGATATTTTGAATGCAACAGTCTACCACCCAAGGTCAGTCAGCGCAAGGTCATTAACAGGCGCTCGGGGCTTTACAATATCAGTTAAAATTGAGTCGCGAAAAATCAAAATTACTAAAAATAATGCATGTCTAATATATATATTCTAACATACCCACCTACACCCAAACACAGACCACCTTCACAGTAGCAGGCATGAACCGTAAGCAGGTTGTCAAGATTTTTAGTTACAAGAAGTTTAGTACGGGCAACGGATACCAGGCTGCGCGTTTAAGTACCTCTGCCTTACGCGTCTGTTATCCTTGCTGCTTCCGTAGTGTTCACACATGAGACGGTGGTGTTATGGGGTTGCACAATCCCATAACGCCACATTATATTTATATATATAATATATATAATATACATATATATACAATATATATATATATATATATATATATATATATATATATATATATATATATTACTGGATTTGTCTTTTATGCTCGTCATGATTGACTGAAACTAGTGGTGCTACAGGATGGCACACACTTTCCCGTATTAGTTTTCTATTTTCTTTGGTCTCGACCAGCTATTCGGACTTGCCACAAACTCTTGCCTGCTGCCATCGCCGTCCAAAGTACATTTTTTTTGAAATTATCTTAATTTTTCGGTTTCCTAATTGTGGAGAGGAAATATTATTTTAAGAATATTAAAAAACAGTAAAACCTGGTCCTAAATAGCAATTTTCTTTGAATACTTTGTAGCAGTTTTTAAGAAAATGGCGCATAAACGCTACATTACATTCGAAATTTGAAGCACTTTTTCACAGAAAATTTTTGAGTTTTCGAAAAACTTCATTCGAATTCATTTGAAGCACTTAAATTTAGATTTATTTAGTAACAAAAAAACACTAAAAAGTGTTTGTGGCGTATAGGGGAGAAGATCGTCTACGAACGTTTTCTTGAGTTCCAGAATCCCTTCCCACCATTTGAACTATAAATAGTTGAAAGAGGAGCAAAATGAAATATATAAATTTTAAACAAGCGGGAGATTGGCAATATTTAAAAATAATAGACATTTTCGTTTCTGAGTTATAAAAAACTTATTTGCATCGGTAAACGAATTGCAATTATAATTTTTCTGCATTGCTAACAAAATAGTAACTCGACCTTACCTCTACTTGTACCATTACAAGAAAAAGGAGAGTTCAACAATACATTAGCTCACCAAAACAATAGTGTTAGAAATCGCCGGAAATATGCGAATTAATAGTGTGATATTTGTTTAAAAATATATTTGTGTAATTTTTGAAAAAACAAAAAAATCCCCGAAATGAACTTTACCCCGTATTAAAGAGTACAATTAGCATTGTCCAATCGAAAAATTTAAACAAAAAATTTGGAGCCGTTTTTGAGAAAATGGCGTTTGGGCGTTTCTGAAAATGCGGCATTTTGAGCTAGTTTTCACAGATAAGGTTGAGTTTTCGAGACGCTTTATCTGACATTATTTAAATCACATATACTTATAAATATAATGTGAATAAATTGCTGCTAGTGTAAATATTAACAAATAATAAATTTTTGTAATGTTTGATGAGAGAAAATAGAGCAATACGGCATTTGTCATCTTATAGAGTGCACTTACCCTACCAAAAGTATAAAGAAAAAAATTTTGGAGTGATTTTTGAGAATTTTTTTTCTAATTCTATAAAATTGCGCATGTTGCAAGCAATATTGCGGGAAAACTACTAAAATTTTCAAGAAATGTGCAAGACTTTAATGAAAGAACTCACTATGGAAAACAAATTTTATTTTGAAGGAAAAATCTACTATCTTCAATTTTGTAGGTGTAGGAAGACTCCCTAAAAATTTTGAAATTTTCGAAAATTGAGATTTAACAGTGAAAATTGGACCTATGCCACCTTATAAGTGTTTTTGCTCTATTCTTACAAGAAATTTAAAGAAAAAATTTGGAGCCATTTTTGAAAATTTTGAAAATCCCCGGAGGGCTCTATGTAAAGTATCCTCAAATTTTAAAGATTTTTTTCAAACTTTCAAAGATTCGACTAGAGCCAGATGGAAAGAGGTTTCTTGAATTTGCAAAAAATCCTTTAAGTAAGCCCTAGTAGTGTTCACAAACAGACGGACATTTTCAAAAAAACAATTTTTTCGGTATCGGGGGACCCAAAAAATGTATTTCCATACAAATCTTGAAATCGATTGCCCGTAGCAATATACAGGTGTCCCATTTCACTTGACAACTTGAAATAACTCAAAAAATACGCGATGTATGAAAAATTGAGCCGAGACCAAATCTTAACAGTTTTGA